AATTTGAGTCTACAACTGCATCTCTGTGCAAATGTGGTATGGCAACTCGAAAAATGATGTACGTACGTACGAAGTTCTACGTTGTTACTGACTGATACAAAGGGGCACCAAAGTGTATATTCGCCACACAATAAAAATCAGATTGTAAAGAGATAAAGAAAGGAAGGTGAATAAGACAAAATGAATAAAAATTAATGTCTGAATAGAAAAAGTAATAACGGGAGAAACAGTTCATTCCACAAAAAATACGACCAGAAATGGTTCTTTCTGTTAAAGAAGTTCCTCTGACTTACAACATAAGAAAATTGCCACCACTGGCTACTATTCTGAACCATCCTCTGATAATGTCTCAAGACCACTGTTCTGGATTATCTTTTGAGATGAACCTCGTCATCGAGTAGTCTAATTAAAATACAGGTATTATAGATTATATTAAGGCTTCACATGGTTTATATATATATATATATATATAATATATATTCTTGTAGTTCAAGATCAAGATAGACCTCATACAAATACTGGTACATGTGATCAATCGTTTGGAGCCTTTAGATAGATGCTTAAAAAAAATCAATTTTAATCTGTTTCATAATCTCTATGTTATAATTAACTGATAAAGATTGTTGTATTTGTTACTATTCTGTTTAGAAGAATTAAATCTCATTAATTTCTATCTTAAAATAAGATTCTATTTCTAACAGCTTTTCTATTCATAATTGGTGTCCAATTAAATTACAATCTAGCCCCCAAATGCCCTGGTATGGCCGAGAGTAGGGAGAGTCCGCTCTCCCTCTCGAAATGCTCTCACATGGCCACGCGTATATAGCCTCTGACAGGGAAGTCCTACTCACTGACTTCTCGTGGCGGGGGGTGGTGCTTACGAAAATGAGAGGACGAAGAGCGAATGTCCGGTGCTTTAACCGGATCACAAAGCAAATCAATGGTGCACATGGGCTCCAGTATCCTGAGGGAATAAATGGCGTACGAACTAATTGTTGGTCACTGGTTACCATGGAACTGCATCTCCTTACGATGCTCCATTGCCTTGTGGATCAGACTTTCAGCTCGAAGGCTCCAAGAGTGGCCCTTTAAGAAAACCACTTGCTTCGGTTTGGGCACCCGGACAGTATCCTAGCCCTCACACAAATCTCATTTGATTTATGTGGCGCATATCTATTTGGTGCCTCCTTGTACCAATATCTTTGTGTTAAACTAATAAAATAAATTACAATCTATCTTGTTATCACAATCACATTGAATGAAGTAAAGCAAAAGATATTTTTTCTCTTATAATCTTTAACTTCTTAGATAATCCACAATGTATGTTCCATCAGAATAGCTCATCATCTTATCAAGTCATTCAAATCGTGTTTAAGCAAATTGTACAACCAATTGAATATCTCTAATCTCGTCTAGGAATTGAGATAAGCTACTTTCTAATGATTGTTAAATTAATCCTGATTCTGCAGAAAGTCTGTAATAACATGCATAGTGAAGTGGTATACATTTGACTCACCAAAGCAGAATTTGGTTATGTGTTAACAAAACAATGAACTATGGCTTTGGTAGAGTTTTGTTCTCTGAGCTGGATAGTTTGATCGTGGATCTTTCATCGTTCTTTTGAACGACATCATCATCAGCAACACAAACTTCAGATAGAAGTTTGTGATGAAAGCTCCACGACCAAACCTCATCCAGCTCAGGGGAAAAAAACTCCACAAAAATCATCCATCTGTGCTACAAATCTTTTCCATCATCTCAAAATGAACTATGGCTTATCGATTTCGAGTTTATAATTCAATTTAGCTTAGAACAACACTGTTAAAAGTGTATAGGCCAGCTGATACTTCTTGACTACTTGGATCGTGAATATTTTTCAGGGAGAATTCATCAATAGTAAGTGAAAGTTTCTTTATTTTTCCTTGGTCTGTTGTATAACCTAAAACTTGATATTTGTATTGTTATGCTATTCAACAATATACAGCTACTCGATTATCTTGCAATTTCTTGGTAATATAAACATGTGGATAGTCATTTTACTAATTGAGTTCTGTTTAGGAAAATTGTTAGTTGATATTTGATAGGATAAGTACTTCGAGGTTTTTTTTGGGGGGGGGTTCCATTCCTGACAAAGTATGAATGTACACTGCTGAGAAGTTACAATTGTCCAGCGCTATCTATCCTTTAATAGTTGTCCAGATGAAATCAGTTTCTGATCTGAGTGTTATGTTATTGTCAATAAGATTTTCCGAACAAATCACACTTATAACGGTTTGTAATCACAAACATCTTAGTGACTCAAGAGTTATGAATTGTTCATTTAAAAAGTATTATCCAATACAAAACTATTCCTAGTATTGTGTAATTTTAGGATCAGTTATCACGATTGATTGATCACTGGGTGGTGATCAATGTCATACTTGTCTAGTCCTTATTAGTGCAGATCGAATGCTATCGATCATGTTGCAATGTGGCCACAAGCCTAGGTGACTCGACACTGCGGGCACTATGTATTGAGATTTAGATGGTGGTTGGAGGTAGTCAACAGGAAACCCTGGACCCGGGTTTCGTGCTACTTGGCACTCGCCAGCAACGTGTACCTGTAATCTTGAGGGAACTGGTGCTCCCTGGCGGATTCGATCTCGTGTCACCCAGCTTCACAGTGGTAACGTTCCCTCAAGATTACAGGTACACCTTGCTGACAAGTGCCAAGTAGCACGAAACCCGGGTCCAGGGTTTCCTGTTGACTACCTCCAACCACCAATCTAGGATCAGTTATAGTTACATACTCATAGTCTATTATTTATTGGGTAAGGTAATCAACAACATACTATATGCGTAAAGGCCAGATTTAGTTGATGGAATTACAGATGATCTGAGATAGATTACAAGGCCGTATAGTTTACATGACTATCAACCATCAGCAATTAGACTAGTGATTGGTGAGCCTATAATTTATGGACGAACCAATCAGATTCAGGATAATAGGTCTTAGATTTTGGCACGAAATTCACTCATCCATTTGACTAAATAGTTCTGGCATTATAATTGATATCAGTTGGTAATGAAAATTTCTAAATCTACTTCCTAACCATTAACTATAAATCATAATTCTAATTCCTCACGCTAGTTTATAAGCCTCATTTAGTCCTAGTAATTAAGATGGATATCCTGAAGGTCACTTTAACGTCTCTCAAAGGTCATCCATAAATTATAGTTTCACCGTTATTGTCGTCAATACCATGTCTTCCCCTACTTGATTCCTCATCTTCATAATTGTTAAAAAATTTCCTAAGTGGTTGGTAAATTTGACTGCTAATTATTTGACTATATTGGAGGTACTTTTTTTTTAATTATGAAGAATCCATCTTCCATATAAACAATACACTTTTCTTTTCATGCTTTTTGGTAAGATTGAAGCTTTCATTCTCTGCATTAACGCTTCTATAATAAATCCAAATATTGGTAATTCCATTAATATCAGAAAGCAATTTAATGGATATTATAGGAAGTAAATAATTGAATTCATCAGTCGATTGAATCTAGACCACTATGGGAAAGCCTTGAACATTTGTTTCGTCCTAGTACAGGACCCCTCGACAGTACGCATTCACGATCCTGTTCACCGGGTTCGAACCTAGGGCCTATCGGTCTTGCGCGCGAACGCTATTTACATATATATTATTAGGTATTGATACTTACAAATTGTTAGTCATTTGTAGAGAAAAACTCTAACAGTTCTAAAACTTTTTGTTGATGATAACTATTATCAGAAGGGGGTTTGTGGAGATTTTAGAAATTTCACTGAATGAAATCGTGGGTCAATTGAAGCTAGACCACCATGGAAAACCTGGAAGCACTGGACGGCCAGTTTGTCCTATTGTGGGACTCCTCAGCAGTGCCTATCCACGATCCCGCCCCTCGCGAGATTCGAACCCAGGACCTATCAGTCTCGTGCCAGGCGCTCACCCAACTAGACCACTGGTGACAACTATTGTCTAGAAAGACAATAAGAGTTTCATGATTGAATTACTGGGTTTAAAGTATCTAATTGGTATCAAAATAACCTTTCTCAGGAAACTTCATGATATATCTAATCAATGAGAATTGACTTGTGCGATCCAGTCAGTCAGCTACAACGTAGGACAAGGCACATATATGCATCGGTCCAACTTGCCATACCTCATTAACACAACAAGATGACCATCGGATTCATAAAAGTAGCTAATTCAGTGGTGGTGGTAATATATAAAAGAAAGATTGCATATAAGGATATAGTATAGGAAGAAAGAAAGATATGAAGCGATTTTAATCTCTTAGTTTAAGGGAAGACAGAGAGTGTATACATCGACGCCATTGTGATCGATTCTGTGCCATGTCACCAAGAGTCTCCAACCATTGGTTACGATAGTCACGCGGACCCCAACCAAGTAGTCTGCATCTACCAACATGGCTGACACCAGAAGTTAGTGACTTTAAGCACTGATTCCACGTTTTGGTTTGACCGCCCCCAACTTTCTCCCAACAATCTCCAACACCGGTTAGCACTACACGTCGTGGTAATCGGTGTTCAGGCTTACGTAACACGTGACCCAACCATCTCAGTCGATGAAGATTCACAACCTCATCAATTGATTTACCATCATTCCATAATACCCTGCGTCTGACAACACTATTACTTACCAGGTGATCCCAGCAGATGTGAGTAATATTTCTAAGGCATCTGTAGTCAAATACTAGTAGCTTACGAGTGTTTTCTACTCTTAATGGCCACGTTTCACAGCCGTAAAATAGAGCAGAACGAACTGCCGCGCACTATACTCGCCTTCACCATGGGTGACGTAAGTTGGCAAAAGCCAAACGAGCTTTTCGAATCCGTGCTGATATTTCGTCAGACACCAACCCATTAGGGCTGATCAGACTTCCAAGATAAGTGAAGTTTGTCAACGCGTTACACGATTACGTAATAGATTTGATCAAGTCAATAAAAACAAAAGTTATATCATAATATTGCTTTCTTTTTTGTTTAAATACATACATTGTAAGTAAGTGTAAAATCATTTGTACATTTAATGGGTAAGTGAAATCATGGATTCATTCATTCTATAAGGAATTGCACAGATACACATCCACATAGACAGAGAGAGAGAGAGAGGAAATCTTGTTTACATTAAAATGAAGTAGCTAAACTAGTCATATTTTGCCAAAATGTTTGATCTAAATAATCTAAAAATGAATTAATACGTTGTTGATGTGCTTCATTTTCATTTGAATGTATCCTATTCAATATGAAATTATTATTCATAGAATCATCATTATGAATATTATTCAATTTGTTATTCATCATTCGTTTAGAATTAATTAATGGCTAAAAAGAAGAAAAAAACGGATTCGATAAGTTACTTAATCAAGTAATTCATGAACATAATAGTGTACGAGTGCCCTGGTATGGCCGAGAGTGGGGTGGGCCCAACCTCCCTCGCGAAATGCTCTCACACGGACACGTATATACAGCATCTGTCAGGGAAGTCCTAATCACAAACTTCTCGTGACATCACTGTTGTTTACGAAGTTGAGAAGACAAACAGCAAATATCCGGCTCTTTAACCGGATTCCAAACCAATGGTGTACATGGGATCCAGTATCCTGAGGGAACAAATGGCGTATGAACCAATTGTTGGTCACCGGCTACCATGGGACTGAATCTCCTCACGATGCTTCACTGCCTTATGGGTCAGACGTTTAGGTCAAAGGCTCGGGGTGTGGCCCCCTAAGATAACCACCTGCTTTGGTCTGGGCACCCAGGCAGTATCCCAGCCCCCAACACAAATCGAGTGATTTATGTGGCGCATATATACTTGGTGCCTCCTTGTACCAATGTTTGTGTTTAAATAAATAAATAATAGTGTACTATTTATGAGAAAATAAAATGATTTCGTTTATCATCTGCTACAAGTTAGATTGACCAAGTGGTCCAAGGTGCTGCTGCTTTTAGACAATAGTCTGAAAAGGCGTGAGTTTGAATCTCACCTCCACCATACGTTTAGTTCTCTGATTAAATGCCCTGATACAGCAGAGAATGGAGAAAGTCAGCTCTCCCTTTCAAAATGCTCTCACATAGCCACGCGTTTACAGTCACTGTCAGGGAAGTTCTACTCATTGCCTTCTCGTGACATAACTGTTTTTTACGGAATTGAGAAGACGAAAAGCGAATGTCTGGTACTTTAACCGGGTTGGTGGATATGGAGGATCCATATAGGGGTGTTGGAAAACCCTGGTTTCAAACCAACAGTGTATATGGGCTCCAGTATCCTGAAAGAACAAATGGCGTATGAATCAATTATTGGTCACTCACGTACCATGAGACTGTATCTCTTGACGTTGCTCCACTGCCTTATGGATCAGACCTTTATGTCGAAGGCTCCGGGCAGTATCACAGTGAATTGTGACTTATGTGGCACTAATGTATTCGGTGCCCCTTTTTAATAATATTTATGTGTTCAAATAAATAATTAATTCAGATTTCAAGTTGTTAATGATTAACATAAACTTAGTTTTCTGAATTAAAAGTTAAATAATACTTTATCACTGAGCATTAGATAGGAAGAAGAATGAAATTGCTAGAGTTGAAGCTATCACGAGTTCACTTGATCTCTGAACGAGAAAACAAGACTCAGTGACTAAAGACCAGTAAGCTAGCTATTGATGCGTCCCAGCCCCGCTAACTAGAGGGAGAATTCCAACCTTGGAATGGGGAAGTATACTCTGCAAACAGCCATAAAACAAGCGATAACAACAAACACAATTCAAAACGTAAATATATACAGCACAAAACCGTCTTCGGGAAAGATTACAAAATAGTATACTAAAAGACTCAACCGACTAATAGCATTGAAAACATTTCCCAGTGGAAAACACGACATGAATGAAAGTGACAATAGCGCCTTTGGCGTGAAAAACAAAGCAATTCAAATTTTCTAAATAAAATTACAAAATTAGATCCTTTCACAAGTGAAGTTCTGAGGATCTAACATCTCCAACAGAAATACACTTTAGAAATATACAAAAAAAACAACAAATTTCTGTTTTGATTGAGATCATGAACCGATTGATGTTAGACCACCACCTTTGGAAACCTGGAAGCACTGGACGGCCGTTTCGTCCTATTGTGGGACTCCCCAGCAGTGCGCATCCACGATCCCGCTCGCGAGATTCGAACCCAGGGCCTTCGGTCTCGCGCGCGAACGCTTAACCAACTAGACCACCGAGCCAACATCCAATGGTGATAGTGTCTAATATCAAACAATCCACGAAATTGCGCGACCAACTTCCAGTCCAGTGTTTCCAGGTTTCCAAAGGTGGTGGTCTAACATCAATCGTTTCATGATCTCAATCAAAAATTTAATAATCTCCACAATCCCTATACCAGATTTCAAGTTGTTAATGATTAACATAAAAAATTAGTTCTGTGAATTAAAAGTCAAATAATACTTTATCATTTAACGTTCGATAGGAAGAAGAATGAAACACACTTTAGAAATATACAAAAAAAACAAAACAAACAAATTTCTGTTATGATTGAGATCATGAACTGATTGATGTTAGACCACCGCCATTGAACACATGGAAGTATTGGACGGCCGTTTCGTCCTATTGTAGGACTTCTCAGCAGTGCACATCGACGATTCCGCCCTCCTCCCGCAGGATTCGAACCCAGAGCCTACTGGATCACCGAGCCAATCAACATCCAATAGTGTACATGTCTAATCTCAATCAATCCATGATATAATCATTATCATTTTTTTTATTAAAAAAACATACAATTTATACTTACTGATAATTGTAGATATGATATTTGATAATGTAAAATAGATGAAAGAAAATTCCACCATGAAAATTCTGGCCAATAATTATTAATAAATTTATAAATTGTATCATTTTCTAATAATTGCCAAGTTAAAAAATCACTTAAACGTATTTCACCAGAAGTACGAATTAATAAATCTAATGGTTTTAATAAACGTGTATATAAACATTTTGATAATAATTCTTGAGTGATATCACTAAAACAAAAACAAAAAAAAACAAAAAATTTAGTTAGAAAATACAATTTCAATGAAGTTTAATGTAATTTAATGGACAGTAATAAACTATGTATAAGATATGTAAACAAATGAACTAAACTGGATATTGTGTTGACCTCTGAATACCTTGGTACGGCTAAGAGTGGGGTGGGTCCGCCCTCCCTCTCGAAATGCTCTCACATGGTCACGCGTATACAGCCTCTCCCACGAAAGTCCTACTCACTGACTTCTCGTAGCATCACTGTTGTTTACGAAAATGAGAGGACAAAAAGTGAATATCCGGCGCTTTAACCAGATTCCAAACCAATAGTGTATATGGGATCCAGTATTCTGCAGGAACAAATGGCGTATGAACAAGTTGTTCGTCACCGGCTTCCATGGGACTGCTTGAACATCTGGGCTACCTGTTCCTGCCATCTAGATATTTCAACAAGTTTTCTATTGTTGTTTTGTTTTAATATATCATTATGTTTATTAATCGCATAACCTATTCTGCTGCGTTTCTGAAAAGTGTACAACCTTTCGTTGTCAAAGTTACAGAAAACTCAATAAGAGACAATATGGTTGCTGGCAATGTACGACGAAAAGAATGTACATTATTCAGTTGTTCATTCACTGAAGTGCTAACATCTAACTGGCGATTCCTCAATATTTATCGCCAGGACCGACTAAGAAGAAAGAAACGGAAACTTGTTGAAATACTTTGCGCTGAGAATTCTATATTGTACCAAAATTATAATACTGAATAAAGCTAATAATAATAAATAATAATAATCTCCTCACGATGCTCCACTGCCGTGTGGGTCAGACCTTTAAGTCGAAGGCTCGGGGTGTGGCCCCTAAGCAAACCACCTGCTTCGGTCTGGGCACCCGGGCAGTATCCTTGCCCTCACACAAATCGAATGATTTATGTGGCGCATATCTATTTGGTACCTCCTTGTACTTATGTTTATGTGTTTAAATAAATAAATAATAGTGTACTATTTATAAGAAAAAAAATGATTTCGTTTATCATTTGCTACAAGTTAGAGTGACCGAGCGGTCCAAGGTGCTGTTAGTCTTAGACACTAGTCTGAAAAGGCGTGAGTTCGAATCCTACCTCCATCATACGTTTAGTTCTCTGCTTAAATGCCCTGATACAGCAGAGAATGGAGAGAGTCAGCTCTTCCTTTCAAAATGTTGTCACATAGCCACGCGTTTACAGTCACTGTCAGGGAAGTTCTACTCGTTGTTAGTCACCGGGTACCATGGGACTACATCTCCTCACGATGCTCCACTGCCTTATGGGTTAGACTTTTAGGTCAAAGGCTCGGGGTGTGTCCCCCTGAGAAAACCACCTGATTCGGTCTGGGCACTCGGGCAGTATTACAGCCCACACACAAATATAGTGAAAACGATGGTATTTACTGAAAACTCTATTCTCGCTTTGATTTAAAGTCAAACAATTCACATTTATTATTATTGTTATTATTTGCTACGTCATTTAGTCACTCTCTTTTATTTCCACTTTATATATCGCTATTTTTCCACTCATACACCAGCTCGTCTATGGTGGAAATTCGATTCTATCTAAACATTCTCGAGTCACTGCCTGGTTGAAAATTGTATGCTACCAGCAAATACGAATACTGAAGCAGTTTTTTTCTGAAACCACGTGCACTATTCAAATTGGCTGCCTTCAACGTTCGCACATTTATGCAGGTCGGACAACAGATAGGGCTGGCTATGTCTTTGGAAAGTTTTAATATCGACGTTTGTTGTCTATCCGAGATCCGTATTCAAGACTCTGTTTTTTTTTGTGTAGCGCATATATATTTGGTGCCCTCTTGTACTAATATTTATGTGTTCAAATTAGGTAGTAGTAGTAGGAGTAGTGTGGTGCATGCTACTTATATTGATTTAAGTAGTATATAACGTGAGTCAGGAATGTAATGTCTTGCAGCAGAAGATTGAGAAGATCAAGAAAGGAAGAACGGGAATAGGAAGCAATTACTATAGAAATGCAAGAACAATAAATTCCGAGACAATTAACGAACATTTTGCAAATTAGATATTATAGTATGTTTTTTTTCTATTTTACCAAGTAACTCTGTAATATTGTGCTATTTATTTATTTATTTCAACACATAAATATTGGTACAAGGGGGCACCAAATATATATGCGCCACACCATATTTGTGTGTGTGCGGGCTGTGATACTGCCCGGGTGCCCAAACTGAGGCAGGTGGTTTTCTTAGGGGGCCACTCCCCGAGCCTTCGACATGAAGGTCTGATCCACAAGGCAGTGGAGCATCGTAAGGAGATGCAGTCTCATGTGCACCATTGGTTTGGAATCCGGTTAAAGCGCCGGACATTCGCTCTTCGTCCTCTCATTTTCGTAAACAACACCCCCACCACAAGAAGTCAGTGAGTAGGACTTCCCTGGCAAAGGTTATATACGCGTGGCCATGTGAGAGCATTTCAAGAGGGAGAGCAGACTCACCCCACTCTCGGCTATACCAGGGCATTTGGGGGATTGTGCTAAATATAATTCGATTGTCCTCACCTATGTTCTCCTTCACTACAGTACTATTCCTATGAATTCCTTTTCAAAGAACAAACAGTAAATGATAATTTTCTATGCGGAAGTTCTCAAGCACTTAATGGATTGTATAAAAGTTAATTTGTGTGATAATAATGAATGGGTGAATGTATCACATTTCTGAATCAGAATTCTGAGACGACAGTTTTGTTGATAAAACACAAAAAAGGAAGTAACAATTCTTCAAAGATAATGATGATCAAGCATATAGAGATTCAATGAACATCATCAGCATAACAGTAATCAAATCTCAAAAACATACGGCATAACTGCTTTCACCAATGCGTTGTAAATCTGATTCTGTGAAGTTAGGGTTACACTACGACTGAGTAAAAGATGTTCAGATTAGTATGCCCTCTTAATCTACCTGAAAAATTTGTGTGGAGAGCCTTCAATATGCTGATAAACATATCAGATATATCCTTATTCAACAAATAATTCTAGAGCACAGACCTCTACATTTATTATTTCTTTTGTTTAGTTTTGGTGTATTGATTTTATTTATGAATTTAGAGTGTTGTAATGTGTGAATAATAAACAAACCGATGAACTTTTGTGCAAGATTGTATTTAAGGCCATTTCGTTTATCCACCCGTATATCGATTCCACCACTAGTGATTAGGAATATATTTTCATTATGGCATTGTGTAGATTGTCGAATTTCGTTGAGATTACAAATCGATTCTAAGTTAGACAATAACTAAAAACCGATAGCAATGAACGACTGTTCTATGCCACGATGGGACTCCTCAACAGTCCACGTTTATGCCCTTGAAACTGAGAATTAAACTCAAAACTTTAGGTCTCGAATGCGAACGTTTAGCCCCCACTGAGCCGGAATCCAGTGATATATAAGTCTAAATTCAATCAGCCCACGGTATTGAGCTAATGGCCATCCAGTGCTTTCAGGTTTACAATGGTTGTCTAACTTAGATAGGTTCGTGATTTCAATAGAAACACTTTGAAAATTATGCAAACATTTTAGTTCTGCAAATCGGGAGGTGTTGTATCAATGAAAGAGATGTATGGTAAGAGATTCATCATGAGAACCGCAGTGTTCTAAGAGACAGAAAGAGGAAGATGACGGTCGGTGAAGTCAGTAAACCAATGAAATCTATTTATTTATTTATTTGGACACATGAATATTGGTACAAGAGAGCGCCAATATATATGCGCCACACAAAACAATGAAAATGCCCCCGAATGCCCTGGTACGGCCGAGAGTGGGGTGAGTCTGCTCTCCCTCTCGAAATACTCTCACATAGCCGCGCGTATACAGACTCTCCCACGAAAGTCCTACTCATTGCCTTCTCCTGACGGGGGTGTTGTTTACGAAAATGAGAGGACGAAAAGCGAAAGCGAATGTCCGGCGCTTTAACCGGATCACAAACCAATGGTGCACATGGGCTCCAGTATCCTGCCGGAACAAATGGCGTATGAACCAATCTTTGGTCACCGGCTACCATGGGATTGCATCTCCTTACGATGCCCCACTGCCTTGTGGGTTAGACCTTTAGGTCAAAGGCTCGAGGAGTGGCTCCCTAAGATAACCACCTGCTTCGGTTTGGGCACCCGGGCAGTATCACAGCCCACACACAAACGATGAACTCTGTGTCTATGGCAACTACTTTTCTCGCTCCGAAAAATGAAATCTAAATAAAAGTGCAAAGAATTTGACTCAAGTTTAGGGGAGGGGAGAGAAAAGAAATTCATCACCTACCTAGGTATAATTTTTCCTTCTTTCACACCTAAACGTACGATTTCCATTGCATTGGTAATATCATTACGGCTATTATATGCCATACATATGTTTAGTATTGATCTGTGAAGAAAATGAAAAGGAAACAACTAAGAAAAAAATTCAACCAGTAAATACAGTCATCAAAGTAGAAACTGACACAAATCTGCTTCAGGTCAAGATCTCTATAATATATCAATACAGAGGAATGAAATGAGTCAATATTGTGACTGGTTGGAAAAAGAGAAGAGGCGATCACTGTATGATATAGCGTCGTTTTGTGGAAACTGACATTTGTCGGTTATTCCCGATTTCCTGGTTGGGATTCTAATGATAGTGAAACACAGTGGCTTGAGACATTATCAGATATGACTTAGACTAAAAGCCAGTGGTGGGTATTTCTGTAATTTTCTTTCGATTTCCATATAAAAGTCATAAGAACTTCTTTAACTGGAGGAATTCTTTTCTGGTTGTAGTTCTCGCACTCCAACTGCTTCTCACATTATTTACTACTCTCATACACTTATTTTAACTCATTTGTTTTTTTTTATTATAGTAGTTTCAATGGTTAATATCATGAGTCAGTTGAAGCTAGACCACCATGGAAAACCTGGAAGCACTGGACGGTCGTTTCGTCCTATTGTGGGACTCCTCAGAAGTGCGCATTTACGACCTCGCCCTCTGCGAGATTCGAACCCAGGACCTACTGGTTTCACGCGCGAGCACTTAACCACTAGACCACTGAGTCGGCCTGTATCCAACGGTGTTCATGTCTAACTTCAACAAATCCACGAAATTGAGCGACACATCCACCATTGTCTTCAGTGAGTTACTACCTCGCAACAGAACTGGTTGAACTCCACTGGTCACTACTTTTTATTATGTTCACTTTCTTCCGTCTTTTCAAAATCTCATTTTCTTATTGTGTGGCGGCATATTTATTTTGGTGCCCTTTTGTACTGACATTTATGTACTTCGGTAAATGACAAACAAGATAAATGGAAAAGAAGTTGGAATAATTAATATTGTTCATGATAACAAGAAAAACTGAAGTTTGGAGAATATGGCTCGAGAAGTAATGGTGTATTTAAAAAAAAATATTGAGAGGAAGATGAAAAACGAATACATTTACGCTAATGAGACTGATTGTGAGTCATGTTGCTTTATGTTTTCAATGAGAGACTTCAATCAACTAATGTGAGTCTACTGACATAGCTCAGTTTGACAGTTATTGATTTTGTTGATGAACAGTGTGCATAATTTGCCTTATTCCAACTTTTTTCCAACCTACTTTGACAGTTAACATTGTATATTAAGATAGGTGATAGTTAGGTAAGTGACATATGTTACATACTCTTCAGTCGGTGAAGATTCAGATTTATATTAACCTATTCTTCATCTTTTCCTAGTACACTATATATAATCTCAGAATTGCTTATTTCTGTGTTCTACTAAACGCGACCAGTGTTTTGATGATATCTGGTAACCTACAAATATCCGCTACTTCCAAAAACTATTCGCATAAATAGGATTATATATATCTTGATAGCCAGTTTCCAGGTTAAATAATATACGTAAGTTAGTGTTGAATAAAATTGTGGAGAAGTTAATTTTTTTTACTGACTTTGAATGATTCCTAGTAACAAGCATTAATTGTGCAGCCAAACTTTGAACTTTTGCTGGTAGTAATGCTAAATTTCCAATAACACGAATACATATATCATCTTCTTTCAATTCATCTCTAAAAAAAGAAGTAATATGATGGTTAAGGGAAGAGTGATAATCAGTCAATCAGTAAGCTACAACGTAGGACAAGGCACATATATGCATCGGTCCAAGTTGCCATACCTTATTAACACAACAAGATGAACACCAGATTCATAAAAGTAGTTAATTCAGAGGTGGTAATATATAAGAAAGATTTTATGTAGGGATATAGTACAGAAAGAAAGAATTAGTTGGTACAAAGATATGAAGCGTATCTTCTACTCTTAATAGCCACGTTTCGCAGCCGTAAATTAAAATAGAACGAACTGCCGTGCAGTATACTCGCCCTTCCATTGATAGATGGATATCTCGCCTTCGCCAAAGGTGACGTAAGTTGGCAAAAGCCAAACGAGCTTTTCGAATCCATGCTGAGATTTCGTCAGACACCAACCCATTAGGGCTGATCAGACTTCCAAGATAAGTGAAGTTGTCAACGCGTTCGACTACTTCACTTCCTATTCTCAGTTCAGGTGTTGACGCGGGCCAGTCCTGAAGTAAAAACTTGCATTTATAGGGAGAGAAGCGCATTCCAAACATTCTGGCATTGTTGCTTAGTGCTACCAAAAAACTCTGCATTTTATCAGTGTCTTCACCAAACAGGACTATGTCATCTGGGCATTCTAAGTCGATAAGTGGACCTCCTGGAAGGAGATCAACACCCGAGAATTTAGTCGACGAGAGCGTTATTTTCATCAATAGGTCTGTGATGATGTTAAACAAAAATGGAGAAAGTGGACAGCCTTGACGGACACCAATTGAAGTTGCAAAAGTAGATGACAGTTCGCCATAAGCTCTCACTCGACTGATAGTGTTCGAGTAAAGAGCCTTCACAAGGTTTATGTACTTCTGAGGTACGCCTTTCAATGACAGACACTGCCACAGAATCTCGCGATCTACCGAGTCAAATGCTGCTTTTAAGTCAAGAAAGACCACCATTGTCGGACGCTGATAAGTATGCCTGTGTTCTAGAACCTGACGAATGGTGAATATGTGGTCGATGCAGCTACGACCAGGTCTGAAGCCAGCTTGAGTCTCTCGTGTTTGCAGTTTACGTGTCTTAGTTAGGCGTCTGATAAATATTGAGACCAGTAGTTTAGATGCTATATTGGTCAAACTAACCCCTCTATGGTTGTCAGAGGATGATTTTAACCCTTTCTTAAATATCGGAACAATGAATGATTGTGACCAGTCAGATGGGATTATGTCTAACACTCAGATCTTAGCTAAAATATTAGTGAACCTAATCGCTATAAGAGTGATAATAATAATAATAATGGTACTTCTTACTTATTATCTAGTAACTCTTGAAGTTTTTCTTCAGCTAAATTCATTAAAAATGAAACTTCTTCATGAGATCTATTGAAATTGTCTATACTAAAAGTAAATATTGATACTTCTTCAATGCCAATATCACGACACCATTGTAAAGTCTAAAAAGAATATCAATAAATATGTTTAGATAGAATGAAATTTGAAGAAAAAAAAACGACATACCTCAGAGAGTTTTGTAAAACCATGTAAATGACCATCAGATTTTTTTAACATTTTACTATCAGCAAACCGTCTATTCCCATCCATAATAAAAGCAACATGTTTTGGAATTGGTCCATATTTAATAGCATGTAGACATAGTTTTTGTATTATTCCATATTGTACTTCAGAACGAGTCCAAGTCATTGAAATTCTATGAGATACAAATAGTAAATAACATATACTATGGATTTAAAAGCAAGTATTCAACAAAATAAATACAAAAATTAGTTACTTTTCAAACAGAAAAGCGGAACTGATAGAAACTAACTGGTAATCGGAATGCGAACACAGAAATCTACTCTAAAAAACATTAAGAGTACAAGATACTCGTAAGCTACTAGTATTTGACCACAGATGCCTTAGAAATATTGCTGGCGTTTTCAGGGATCACCGGGTAAGTAATAGTGAGGTTAGACGTAGGGTATTAGGGAATGATGGTAAATCAGTTGATGAGGTTGTGAATCTTCATCGACTGAGATGGTTGGGTCACGTGTTGCGTATACCTGAACACTGATTACCACGACGTGCGATGCTAACCGTTGTTGGGGATGGTTGGGAGAAGGTTAGGGGCGACCAAACCAAAACGTGGCATCAGTGCTTGAAGTCAATAACTCCTAGTCTGAGCCATGTTCATAGATGCAGTCTACTTGGTTGGTGTCCGCGTGACTATCGTAACCAATGGTTGAAGACTGTGTGTGACATGGCTCAGAATCGATCACAATGGCGTCGGTGTATACACACTCTGTCTTCTCTTAAACTAATTCTTTCTTCCTGTACCACGTCCTTATATATAATCTTTCTTTTATATATCACCACAACTGAATTAAATACTTTTATGAATTCGGTGTTCATGTTGTTGTGTTAATGAGGTATGGCAACTTGGACCGATGCATATATGTGCCATGTCCTACGTTGTAGCTGAATGACTCCAAAAACATGATGGATTTGATTCAAATCGTATCTAGAGGCTTTGCTTTATTCACCTTACTTTAACGAATTGATGCTAAGCCTCTTAAGATATTGCATTATGTTGCTGATTAAAGAAATAAGATTAGTAATATTCAAGTGCCTATGATAATTGCTTCTATACAATGAATTATGGAGAACCTGTGACACTGAAATCACTTTGACTGACATATTTCCCCTCACACAGTATCTCATCCTTTTGCTGGAAATGTGAAAATTACGGTTTGAGTTTTTTAAACGACTTGAGCCTAACTTCAAATACCTGGATAGAAAGAAACGTAACATATTGTGTAACCTTGAAACCAAGTTTTCTACTTATTTTATCCAAATGGGATGGCTACCAGATAAAATTTAAAGTAACAGGAATCGATGTGAAACAACCTTTAAATAAACGAGTCCAACTTAAATATGACCGGAGTTAATACACAAATTAACCAAACCAAATATTTACAGTACTGTGTAAATTGTCTAGCTAAATTTTATTTATTTGAACACATAAATATTGGTACAACAGGGCACCAAATATATATGCGCCACACTGTTATAATCTCTCTCTTACGGTTATAACCCAGCTATTCCTATTGCTAAGTATTCTTGGACACCAAATTACTCGACAAGTCCCCAAATCAGAACACGGTTAAACAGGAAAGAAATTATATTCCAAATAACAATGTTAGATGGAAGCAAGAACCAAGTAAGTAAGTACAATAGGGAAAACGTTAGTACATTTATAGTTTTTTACATGAGAAGATTTCTCGAGTGTCCACTAATTATTGGCTAACGCTGATTGGATAATTCTTATCCAATCAGCGTGCACTAAAGCAATCGTGCATTGAGCATGCTTTAATCCAGTCTATGTCCAGCTTACACACACAAAACAATGAGAATGGGAAGAGAAAAAGAAGGTAAGGAGCGTATAAGAAAAAGAGAACAATAACGACTACAGGTTAGTGTAAAGTAGTGTAATAATAATAATAGTAATGGGGGAAACAGAAAGGCACAAGCAAAAAGTATTCTTTCAGTTAAGGAAGATACAACCACTTTTTATGAAAGTAAAACAAGGTTACAGCAGGATCGCCACTGGCTTCTATTCTGAGCTATATCTGATAACGTCTCTAGCCACTGTGTTGCACCATCTCTCGGATCCCAGCCAGGGAGTCGTCAAGGACCAACAGAAGACACTCCTTTGCAGCTTTCTTTCACACCACGACACCATGTCATACACTGACCATCTCTCCGTTTTTTCCAACCAGTCCCAGAGTTGGAAAATAATGCACGGCATGGAATTCTCTGGGACGACATTCGTAGAACATATCCAAGCCACCGAAGTCGGTGTTTCAAGATGGTGACACCAGTTGGGTTATCGTCTCTGTGCCCGAACACACGATGCCGAACCTCTGCATTACTGACATGATGTTGCCACTGGATGTCAGCAATCCTTCGGAAACAACGATGATCAAACACAGAGAGTCATCTAACATCCTCAACTCGGACAGGCCAGGATTCACAAGCATAGAGCAAAACTGCTCTCACCAACGCGTTGTAGATCCGACCTTTTACAGCCAGACTAACATCACGAAGGCGCCAAAGATGGATTAGATTGGCATAAGCCGCTCTGGCTTTCACTATACGTGCACTGATCTCATCACTCACGCTACCACCAGCACTCATGCAGCTACCCAGATACACGAACTTCTCGACTACTTCTGTCTGCTCACCATCCAGGGTCAGTACAGGATTAGAATCCTGCCAGTCTTGTTCTAACATTTGGCGGAAGATGAAGATATGATCAATACATCCTCGACCAGAACGAAAACCAGTCTGCCTCTCGCGAGTCAATCTTTCATAGGTTTTGAACAACCTACGAAGTAATACGGAAGCCAATAGCTTGGACGAAATCGGAAGTAGACTTATCCCCCGATAGTTGTTACAGGAACGACGTGAACCCTTTTTAAAGATAGGGATAACTATCGACTCATTCCATGACGTTGGTACACTCTCTAGTTCCCAGACCTCTGTAAACAACACAGTCAATCCCTTAGTCAGAAAGTCACCACCACCTTTAAAAAGAGCCGGAGGTAAGTCATCTGGGTCCGGCGATTTTCAGCGCTTCAAGAGTTGGAGTTCCTTGCAGAATTCCGCCTCATTTTGTGGATCAGTCGTCATCGGCCATGGAGGGCAGGACAGTCTGACCGATGTTGCCGGAGCAGCAGGCCAGTTGAACTGCCCTTCGAAAAATTCTGCCCACCGTCCAAGACGTCGATGGATGTTAATGATTGGCATCCCATCATCCTCGCAGATTGTTTCACTCACACCAGACTTCTTGCTGCCAGTGGCTCGGATGAGTTGGAAGAGCCTCCGGTAGTTAGCAGATGCAGCTGCTGCTTTCAGCTCATTAGCCCGCTCCGACCACCAGGCCTCTCGGTTCTTACACAAGCTTTGCTCAATTTCCTTACGTAAGTCTTCGTTTCTGGTCAAACTCACGGTTACCCGGAGTAGACCGATGGGCTTCAATGAGTTGTAAGGAACCTGAAGAAACCCAGTGCTTATAAGCGGGACGTTTCGCGAACCCACAACTGACTGTCCCCGCCAATTTCATGGCGTCATGCAATTGCAACCAACGCTCATCTATACTTTTCAGGGGAGTGGTAGCTAGCCTAGAAACTAGCTCGGTTCGATACTTACTAGCAACAGATCTTGCAACCATCTTGCTAATATCAATCCTTTGCTGGCAGTCACTTCGTTGTCCACTGAAAAGTAAGGCAAGATTGGCGCAGACCAAGGCATGGTCAGAGTCCAGATAGGTACTCCAAAAGGAGCGACAGTCTTGTACACAACCACGCCAGCGGTAGCTGATCGCGATGTGATCAATATGAGTCCAGGTTTGAGATGCAGAGGGAGGACGCCAGGTGGCACATCGGCGATGACTGTGTCGAAAGTTAGTGCTGGCCAAAAACAGGTTGTGGTCTGTGCACAGTTGCAGTAGACGGTCACCGTTATTTGTCCTGCGACCAACAAGTCCCCATTGGCCACCTAAACGACTCTCTTCTGTGCCTAGACGCCCGACCTGAGCATTCGAGTCTCCGGCTAGTACTATAATATCTGTCGAACGCACTTTTTGGAGAACAGATAACTGGTGGTAAAACTCATCCTTGAATGCATCCGGGCAATCTGTCGGGGCATAAGCGGAAATGACGCAAAGACATCGTTTCTTATGCCGATTTCTTCTCACTTTGATGTAACTTTCTAGCAACACATAACCAACTGTTAATGGGGATCCAATCGATTAGTGCTGCCTCAGCTCTAGCGCTTAGTTCGACACCAACGTTAGCAAGACCAGATGAAGATGCCACAGGGTCCTCGGATAAACACACGTAAAACAAGCTTTTTGAAGCGACAGATGGAGAGCGAATTCGTAATACTTCACCAGAGTCTTGAATACGGGTCTCGGATAGACAACAAATGTTGATATTAAGACTTTCCAAAGACATAGCCAGCCCTATCTGTTGTCCGACCTGCATAAGTGTGCGAACGTTGAAGGTAGCCAGTTCGAATGGTGCACGTGGTTTCAGAAAAAAACTGCTTCAGTATTCGTATTCGGTGGTAGCATACAATTTTCAACCAGGCGGTGACTCGAGAATGTTTAGATAGAATCGAGTTTCCACCATAAACGAGCTGGTGTATGAGTGGAAAAATAGCGATATATAAAGTGGGAATAAAAGAGAGTGGATAAATGACGTCGCAAATAATAATAATAATAATAATAATAATAATAATAATAATAATATATGTGAATTGTTTGACTTTAAATGGAATCGAGAATAGAGTTTTCAGTAAATACCATCATTTTCATTATATTTGTGTATGGGCTGTGATACTACACGGGTGCCCAGACCGAAGCAGGTGGTTTTCTCAGGGGGCCACACCCCGAGCCTTCGACCTAAAAGTCTAACCCATAAGGCAGTGGAGCATCGTAAGGAGATGCAGTCTTATGGTGGCCGGTGACCAACGATTGGTTCATACGCCATTTGTTACTTCAGGATACTAGATCCCATGTACACCATTGGTTTGGGATCCGGTTAAAGCGCCGGACATTCGCTTTTCGTCCTCTCATTTTCGTAAACAACAGTGATGCCACGAGAAGTCAGTGAGTAGAACTTCCGTGGCAGAGGCTGTATACGCGTGACCATGTGAGAGCATTTAGAAAGGGAGGGCGGGCCCACCCCCCTCTCAGCCATACCACGGCATTCAGGAGTAGTTTAAAGGAAGACAGAGTGCATACACCGACACCATTGTGATCGATTCTGAGTCATGTCACCGATAGTCTCCTTATATCTCATAGTTAAGTTCTGGAAAACTCTAGGTTAGATTACAAACTCCCAGTGAAATATTTCACGGTTATGTATCTGACCACATCTAACCCTGATTAGGTTATGAACTTAACGCCTTTTAAAGATCAATGCCCCCAAATTCCTTGGTACGGTCGAGGGTGGGGGAGTCTACCCACCTTCTCGAAATCCTCTCACATGGCCACGCGTATACTTACTGCCAGGGAAGTCCTACTCACTGTCTTCTCAGGGCGGGGATGACGGCGACTTGTTACTATGTGGATAGAGATGGGGGCGCAGATTACTGATAAACTATAGTTTTCTATTATCTTGGACCAAACTTTACGGGGCTGGAATTAAGACAAGATCGGATAACAATCTTTCGTGCACGAGATATACGGCTGAACAGTATTAGATGTAAATACCTAATCGTCACTCATTAGCGCCGAAGTATTCGAGTAGTAGTCAAAAATTATAAATGGTCGAGATAACTTCTTTAAAATTGTTAGCGCTACATGAAGAAAAGCCACTCAACAACTATTCAAAAACAAGTAAAATGCTTCGGAGATGAATAAATCTTGATTTTGAACCTGTAAACCCACGAACCATATAAAAATATATTGTACATTAGACCTAACTATTAGATTCCATTTATCTAATTTATGTGGTTAGTAGCTAGCGACAGGCAAAAAATCATAATTCTGATTGTAGGGGCCTCTAAAAATGCGATTCAGTTTCAAGCGCTGGAAAGGTTAGCCTTTCTTGACGACATGTAGTCTTTCGATTACCTCTGCTGTTGAAAATATGAAATCTATATGATCCACGTCAAAGAAAACAAGCATGTAGTCGTCATACTCACGATCAACGAACAGAAAAATCGTATGAAGTAAATCAGGCAGAGGCTTCACAAAAGGGGCAAGAAACTACTGGAAGTAAGACTTACAGAAACTAAGTAGTGAGATCTTATCGATGGAACAAGAGCAAGTGAACGTCTAATTACGTCACACAGTAACGCACTATATTAATAGTAGCGCCTCAAGTATTTACTGCTTCTCGGTATCAATTTATGACTAAAAAGAGTTGGGGGATATAACATTCTTCCAGAAATTTGCTCTGGAAACAAATCAGGTCTGTGTGCTTATGGTTGAATGTGCTTGCATCCGTGTCTGAGAATATGGATGCCGTGTTTCATTTTGAATTTTGCTTCATTGCGCTTGAAGTTTCACTCAAGTTGCAACTGTTTGAAATGACCTGAAAATTCTTGTTTTTGCTGCACTTGCATTGTCTACTCCGAGTCACGTGATCTGGATTTGGTGCTTTATCGTTTTTCAACATGGAGGAATGTGGTTATTTGACTGTGCCATCATATTCCGGATGTCTAAGAACAAATTCACCTTCCGAAGCATTGGATTTTTATAATATCGTATCATGTTCATATTGTGAATATTTCCGGTCCCAACAATAAACTGAGCTGCTTCGTGTTGGGATGTTTCCTTGTCTACCTTTCACTCTTGCCACTTTTGTTTTGGTGTATCTTCCTTACGGTCATCAGTATTGTCAACAAACCTAATAACTATCATTTGGTGTGGCGTAGAATTCGGGGTTTTCACGATTGAGTAATGAAGGTGTTAGAGAGGCTACTTAAAAAACCTTCACTGTCCTAAGAAGAGTCTACTAATTACATGCGTCGAATTGCTGAAATAAGATCATCAGTCGATGCGCGATGTATCATAGTTGTCACAGTTCGACTGAACGTCTGAACTGCCTCATTGGTTATAGTTATGCGGGCTAAGCGTACAAAGAATCACTCAAGCTGGCATGAAACGTTTAGTAGGTTGTAGGAAACTGCATGGTACTGAGATGCCTAAACTGTCTTGATTAGTCAGTTTCAAGAGGATTTTAAGATTTTCCGGGGCAATCAGAGGCTATCTAACAATGATCGTTCGTGGAGAGCTTAAGCGATTTTCAGTTCAGACATCTGAATACTCTAAGTGGTTTAAATGGTAGTTAATTCACCGAAGATAGGAGTGCGTCCAATCACTAAGACTATCAGCTTTTCTTCATATTTACTACGTTTAATGTGATATAATCTAATTTAGCCAAACTGAATATTCAGAAAACCAGTTCGTGATGGACATTACTGGCTGGAATAATTTTCGTTTTCTTAAAATTCAGAGAACAGCATTTGGAATTTTGTGCACTTAACGATCATCAGTTGACTGATTTTCGCATCAAGCTGTTAACATGACCAGCTAGTTACTGTCCCCTTCGGTGTCTTCAAAATAAAACTGGAGAACCGAGAAATCTTGTTCGGAAGTGATAATATCTACTTCAAGTGAACTAGGGAAATGCTATTATCCAATCAGACTGTTGCGTCCAAGTTTTTGCTCATTCCCTTTATTGAAGTACGGTATATCGATCTATTTGCAATTTATGGTACCCTAATTTAGGTACCAAAGTTTATTCGCACTTTACAAACAGTCGACCCAAATGTCGTCCTTACAATAATTATAACAATTATAGAAACAGACCTTTGATTTCGTAGGCTCCCGGAGCAAAAGCTCTCAAACACCAAACCAAAGACAAAGAGAAACCAAAATGTCCGAAAATAACAATATAACCAAACAAGTTTAGAGATTGAGTAAAACAAATACATCCAAGAACACAGTGAAATTAAAAATACTTAATATAAAGGTTTTAATCGGCCAAAATGTCTCCAGTTCTCCCGTAATACAGACAAACTTTTATTTATTTTCGTAGACTCATTTTTAAAAAAATATATTACAGTTCATGTCATTAAACACTACTTTTGGTATGTAGACAGGTCTGATTTTGGCTTGACATACTGCTGTGTCAGCGGCTGGTAGGATGCATTATTGTCGTGCATCGGCGCTTAGGGATAGAAAGTTGAAACTCGGGATTGACATTTTCTACCCATAGCACTCAGTCGCCAAAAATCTTTGTACACTGAAGTACCCGCACTTGCAGCGTATTTAAAGCATGTAGACAACCATGGGCATGTCCTTTGCGCTTTACGGCCATCAAAGCAGCCTTGTATCTGGATGCGACAAAAGGGCGGTCGCTGTTATGTGTTAATCGCGAGGTGTGACTTCGACGTTAGCTAGTTGGTCAAACCATTTCCCCTCTAACTCGATTAGGCCCCAAACCATATCGTATTAACAACCCTCTCAATCCTCTCCCGCCGCAATGGCTATAAACTAAGAGCATTCATGATACCTAAGTACAGTTTTATTTTTGATCCAAGTACCCTCTTGGGCGATATCACTGTAACGACCGAAACACCAATATTTTGTTTGGACCCAGAACTAACGAACTATAGTCTAGTTGATTCGGCCGAACTACGTCCTTCCGTGAGTGACTCGTATTAAATTATATCAAAACATAAACTTTATGTTCAGTTCGAACAGTTTTGATTTAAGTAAGATAACAATTTACATTATAAGTACAAAATGTCTCAAACGGTGCAGCCCGTGCTACATAGTCAAGGGTTCCTCGAGCACGAAATAACATGTTAAGCAACGAAAGGAGTAATAAGCAGTCAACATTTCGACACCTGAAAATGAATTAAGATATTACCAACAAGATGAGATCAGATACCTTGTATTCGAATTGGGATTACCAATTGTAGCGTGGTGTCGAGTCGAGATTAACTATGAACACCGCTACCAAGAAACACGTGCCAAGCGAATCAGAAGGCGTAAGAAGCTCGTTCCAAATGACTCCATAAAATCCCCGAGAAGCCAAATATCAGAAGACAGTTAATGGATCAAGTCGAGGTTTATTAGCTGGCGATCTCGTGGCATCGAAAGGATACCGAGATCGTGCCAGGATACAACCTTGGTTACAAAAGGTAACCGAATTCGCGCGAAGTTACAATCAAAGTGTAAGTATAAGAATGGAAGCACAAAGTAGCTGTCATTAGCACAGTCAAACAAAAGCACGTTAAAACAAACACTGGTACAGTTGGTTATAATAATAATTGTTTTTATTAAACCAGTCGTGTTCTCGTGATAAACGTGAGTCACTACAGGAGCCCCCCGCTAGAAAGGGTTTACACTTTCGATAAATAGCGGTTTGAATCGTGGGACTGATTGGCTGACGAGCGATTGTAGGACGGAAGAATTGGCGAACAGGAAAGCGATCGTTGATCGTCGAGTTGCCAACGAAGGTCGTTTTCGGAGAACAGTACCAGGAGCGATGTGTTGTATTTATTGCTCGAGTCGGCATGCTACACCAGAATGGTTTGTATCCAGAATCTGAAGAGGGCGTTCGTACGGGTCCGGACCATAAACGCTGCAGACGAAGGACGAAACCACGTTGAGCCAAAAGACCAGAAGCGACCATAACGACCAAGTTCGAGACCAAGCATATGCCAAGCATTCGAAACTAATATATCGACTGAGTACGTTGACAAGAGCGTGGGTGGCCAATCCAGCTTTCGCCAAAGTTGACTGAAGTCGACGAAACCAAACGTAGATGGTCGAAGGCGTGGGCTCAGGAAACAAAAAGAAAATCAAAAAAAGAAGAGTGTAGCATACGTGTAGTATAGGAATAATCCTACACCGTATCAGTTGTTGAATGTGCGACTATTCGCGGAAGCGTACGGGTAATCGTACTCGGCGACCGGAACGTGAGACGGCAGTCTCGTTCGCGTCGCGTGAGCCTGCAATCTCATCCGAAGTCAAGGGCGGTGTGGTCTGCTGATCTGGACGTGAGACTGTCGTCTCGTCCGTAGACGGTGCAGATGACGCGTGCTGTTGACCGGGACGTGAGAATGAGGTCTCAGATGCATCTAGCGTGGGACCTGAAGAAGATTTAAGGATCCCGCTAGGTTTGATAGGTCTAGCATTGAATCTCAGGGTGTCAGATAGGGCACTGTCATCGACGTGTGCTGGTTTGAGACGATCAATGCTGACGATCTCGACGCGTAAGGTTGTTGCCAAGGTTTGCGTACCGAATCTACTCGTACAAAAACATGTGAACAGGTAGATAACTCTCGAGGGAGAGCGACCTGTCGATGTTGTATTCGAGTTGACACCGGAGGCAGCGTTCGCATAAATGCAGACAGTCTATGGACGTAGTCTGATTTAGCGAAATTAGGTCTGCTCCGTGGTGTGAAGAATTCTGCGGGCAGACGCAATGTCGTGCCGTATACAAGTTCAGTGGCGGAACATTGGATATCTGCCTTTAAACTCGTTCTCACCCCTAAAAGAACGAATGGTAAGGTTTCGTGCCAGTTGCCGTTTTCGTGTGCTCGTAGAACACTTTTAAGTTGGCAGTAAAACCGTTCAACTTAACCATTTGGTGCTGGGTGGTAGACGGATATGCTTATGCGAATGCATTCCGTACCAAGCAGCCGGGTCAGCGAGGAGAATAGTTAATAGGGGAAAAGTTCTCGAATAAAGCGTGGAATTCATCATCACGCGAATAAAAAGTGACAAGGATTCGGTACACATACGTGTGAGTCTATTATATTAATACTATTCTTATCGTTATCCGTCATGTCGCGTATATTATATATTAAAAATATGAAAATATACGACAGACGTGGATAGATAAACCATAGACTCACCGAATTGGCTTCTTTGGAAGATTTGATCAGAAGTTGAGGCGTGTTCCAAAATACGGGTCACCAATTGTATTCGAATTGGGATTACCAATTGTAGTCGAATTGGGATTACCAATTGTAGCGTGGTGTCGAGTCGAGATTAACTATGAACACCGCTACCAAGAAACACGTGCCAAGCGAATCAGAAGGCGTAAGAAGCTCGTTCCAAATGACTCCATAAAATCCCCGAGAAGCCAAATATCAGAAGACAGTTAATGGACCAAGTCGAGGTTTATTAGCTGGCGATCTCGTGGCATCGAAAGGATACCGAGATCGTGCCAGGATACAACCTTGGTTACAAAAGGTAACCGAATTCGCGCGAAGTTACAATCAAAGTGTAAGTATAAGAATGGAAGCACAAAGTAGCTGTCATTAGCACAGTCAAACAAAAGCACGTTAAAACAAACAC